CGTAATATATATAGTATCACATACTAAACTACTACCTAACTTATTCAATAACTCCTCATATTCACTACTCTATCTATTCATATACTACTATACCCTACCTATATAATATAATAGCGAAGACGAGACGAGAGAGAGAGAGAGAGAGGCAGAAAAGCCAGAGAGACCGCAGCCCGAGACGACGAGGAGCAGAGACGCACTCCGCGTTCTTGTAATGTGCATTGTAAGTTCATCACTTCGCCAAGATTGGCAAATCTATAGCCCATATTCCGCATTAAAACCCCGGTCACCGTGATTCTAAAGCCGTAATGGTGTGTATCAATTTAACCGAAAGAATAAGTACGTTATTTGCTTTCTCAAGCGTCAGTAGACCTACTGCATACTACTGCATGATTGATTAAAATTGTCTATATTAACCATCACGAGCACATTGACCGATATGCTATGCGTCATCAAGAGCACATCAACCCTTCATGTTTCCGTACTTCCGTACTTTGGCAATTTTATCGTCTCTCACGACTGTAACTATGCGGGCCGTAACGTTTGCTACGCGTTCCACGTCTCCCCCGCAGCAACTGTTGCGTCGGCTCTGCCTGGCGGGGCAGTCTACACGGCCCGATGCGCCGTCGCCGACCTATCGTGGCGGCGAGTTCAACATGGCGCTGGAAGGGTGCAGATGTTCAGGCCACGAATGCCGGTTGTCGTGGCGGTCTCATCCACCGTCAGTCTCCGGCACTCGGAGGCGCCGTGGAGTCCAGTCGCTGGCAATTATTGTTTAGTCCATATGTCGTACGGGACTGGAGTTACAGTGGTTGTGTTTGGATCCCAATTAGTGACCAAATAAGGCTGAAATAGTACGGTGTACACACAAACCGCGGCGCCACAACACGCACGGACATGCAGAGAGTGCCCAGAATACACAGACACACAGACACACAGACCACCGACACAGACAGCACACACCGACGACCGGCGCCCAGCACGCGGCCGGCACACAGCACACAGCGACACCCACACACAGAAAGCCATCCACACAGCGGCAGCGGGAGGGGGCGGGCGGGGGCGGGCGCGAGGCGGGGGGGGGGGGCACACGACCTGCACCACACACACAAACACACACACAGCGATCGAGCGAGCCGAGCGAGCGAGCAGCACCCCCAGGGGCACACACAACACACCAAAACAAACACAATGAATATATATACTATATATATTAATATATATATATATATAAATATATTATACCTCCTGTATATCAGTGCACTGAGTTCTCCAGCCCAGCTCGAACCCTGCTACCCTTGTAAGTCTTCAGTAAACATGCGCACATTAGAGGCTTATAAAACTGATATGTCATTATCGTCGTATAGTTTATGAACTTTTGAAACGCACACAGTACAGACACCGTCCCGACACGGCACAGCCGCGCTAAAAACTGCGCCAGCAATCATTGCATAATGCATAAACACACCGATTATCGGCGCGATATAAAAAGAAACTAAATAAAACAATAGAGAAAAACAAGTAATGATAAAAGTGATAACGTAAGGTATCGCTAAGTGAATAACTTGCAGGAATCTCCAGATATACTAATATCAAGTTGCATATCATGACATGCGCGTTTCGTAGATTAGCTCCACTGCATAGACGAAGGAAGTTGAACTAATGAATGGAAAATACGGTTGATTGATTTTACGTTTGTTTGCTTGTTCCAGGCTCCCACGTTATTCAAGTGCTGCCTCGTCATTCATACCCCGCGATAGCTGGTTTAATGAAGCTTGAGGAGTTTAGTGTCGTAGTGTCAGTGTTAGTGTTAGTGTTAGTGTTAGTGTTAGTGTTAGTGTTAGTGTCAGTGTCAGTGTTAGTGTCAGTGTTAGTGTTAGTGTTAGTGTTAGTGTTAGTGTTAGTGTTAGTGTTAGTGTTAGTGTTAGTGTCAGTGTTAGTGTCAGTGTTAGTGTTAGTGTTAGTGTTAGTGTTAGTGTTAGTGTTAGTGTTAGTGTTAGTGTTAGTGTTAGTGTCAGTGTCAGTGTCAGTGTCAGTGTCAGTGTCAGTGTCAGTGTCAGTGTCAGTGTCAGTGTCAGTGTCAGTGTCAGTGTCAGTGTCAGTGTCAGTGTCCGACGTTAATATATGTTAGTGTCTCATTGTACGGATAGCTCTGTTAGCGTTAGTGTTACTAAATAGTTTAGGTGCTCGTCTAAGTAACCTAGATGACGTCATGCATATCTTCTTCATTTTGTAGGACTGGGCTGCTTTTTTGCTGGTGCAATGGGAGGCGGGCTAGGCGTAACCTCATTCAGTAACGCAATAGGAGCTCTTGGCTTGACGAGGGTCAGTGTTTTCTTGCCGCCATTCCAATAATAAAATCACCTAACAACTGAACATAATAAAAAAACAAATAGGTATTACTGAAAGTGGTACGTAAATCATGGTCATGATTCAAACACTACATTATAGTGTTTGAATCATGACCGTGATTTACGTACCACATTTTAGAAATATCAACTATTTATTTAATCGATTTTGAAATACAAGTATAACTGCTATAACAAATCTCGTGCGTCTGCCCGCTACAGGTAGCCTGCCGAAATCTCATCTACGTAGCGTCGGCCATCATGATACTTTGCGGTATCGTGCCAAAGTTTGGGGCCGTGATTAACACGATGCCCGTGCCGGTTACGGGCGGCATCTTCTGCCTCGGTATGGCTCTCGTCACGGGCGTCGGCCTCAGCAACCTGCAGTACATAGATTGGCATTCGTCACGCAACATCACCATACTCGGCTTGAGCATGCTGCTCGGTGTCATGATGCCCGAGTTCATAAAGACTACCCCAGATGCAATCAACACGGGTGAGCTGACCTGCATGGTCAATCAACGCAGAATGGCAGGAATGTGTAGATAATTTTCTTGGCTGTGGGTGTATTTAAATGTGGGTAAAAACGTAGCAAGGCTTCCGTTTATGGTTACACGTACGGGTCATGATGTTTGCGATGTATCGCGTATTTCAGTACGACAACTGTTCCTGGACGTAGGTAATGAAAATTTATTGAACAATTATAGGAATCCGAGTGATAGATGAGGTGGCAACTCTACTTCTATCAATGGGCTTCTTCATAGGGGGCATGACAGGATTTATACTGGACAACACGGTGCCAGGTGCGTAGCATCGTTTACGTGCTGACATATAGAATGGACCACAACGCTGATTTATCCTTTCACAATTTCTTAGAAAAGATGGGCGTCCATAAATCTATTCCAAAATCATTATCTTTGTTTAGTTAGACGTTCTATGTGATTGCGCAACTATACCTACTGCTTGCTGTTTATTTGTTTTATTCTCAGGAACACCGCTGGAGAGAGGCATCATATATTTCACGAGTGCCGAGCACAGCACGTTCCACGCGTCGAAGCTCGCCACGTACGACATTCCGTACGTGACCGGCTACCTGGACAGGCTAGCCATCAGCAGATACATCCCACTCTTTCCACAGTTCGGACAGGAGCGACGCGCACGCCACGACGCTGCCGACAACAAACATCCGACATCGGACAAGTGTGACACAGGCGGGCTATAACAACTCGGATGTAACAGAGCCTGCTAATTACTTGAAAATAAAAAGAATATAGCCGAGTTGATATATATATATATTATACAGCCGAGCTCTCTCTCTCTCTCTCTCTCTCTCTCTCTCTCTCTCTCTCCTAGTATATACTAGTATATATATATAGAGAGAGAGAGAGACCGAGAGACCCCTCTGGAGAGAGGAGACGATGGCATAGAGAAGAGAGGGAGACACGGAGAAGATGAGAGAGAGAGAGAGACGAGAGAGAGAGGCTCGGCGCTGTATAATTATATATATATATCAAACTCGGCGCCTATATTCTTTATTACTTTTCAAGTAATTTAGCAGGCTCTGTTACATCCGAGTTGTTACTAGCCCGCTGTGTCACACTTGTCCGATGTCAGATGTTTGTTGTCGGCAGCGTTCGTGCGCGTGCGCGTCGCCCTGCCTGTCCGAACTGTGCGAAAGAGTGGGATGTATCTGCTGATGGCTAAGCCTGTTCCAGCGTAGCCGCCGTCACGTACGCGACACATGTCGTACGTGGCGAGCTTCGACGCGTGGAACGTGCCTGTGCTCGGCACTCGTGAAATATATGATGCCTTCTCTCCAGCGGGCCTGTTCCTGAGCAATAAAACAAATAAACAGCCAAGCAGTAGGTATAGTTGCGCAATCATCATAGAACGCTCTAACTAAACAAAGATAATGCATTTTGCGAATTAGATTTATGGCACGCCCATCTTTGTCTAAGAAATTGTTGAAAGGATAAATTCCAAGCGTTGTGCGTCCCATTCTATATGTCGAGCACGTAACGATGCTACGCACCTTGGCACCGTGTTAGTCCGGTAATAAATCCTGTCATGCCCCCTATGAAGAAGCCCCATTGATAGAATAGAAGGTTGCCACCTCACTATCACTCGCTGAGTTCCTATAATTGTTCAATCAAAATTTTCGATTACCTACGTCCAAGGCAACGTTGTGCTTACTGGAAATACGCGATACATCGCCGCAAACATCAGTGACCCGTACGTGCTAACATAAACGGAAGCCTTGCTAACGTTATTTACCCACATTTAATACCACCGACACAAGAAAATTTATCTACAGCATTCCTGGCCATTCTGCCGTTTGATTGACCATGCAGGTCAGCTCACCCGGGCGGCTCGCGTGGCTTGATTGCATCTGGGGTAGTCTTTATGAACTCGGATCATGACAGCCGAGCCAGCATGCTCAAGCCGAGTATGGTGATGTTGCGTGACGAAGAATGCCAATACTATGTACTGCAAAACACGGTTGCTTGAGCGCCGCACGCCCGTGCACGAGAGCCATACGAGGCAGAAAGATGCCGCCGTAACCGGCACGCGGCATGTCGTGTTTAATCACGGCCCCAAACGTTGCGCACGATACCGCAACAGTTATCATGATGGGACCGACCGCCTACGTTAGATGAGATTTACGGCAGGCTACCTGTAGCGGGCAGCACGCCTCACGAGATTTGTTGAGGCTCGTATAGCAGTATTATTACTTGTCATTTTCAAAATCGTATTAAATAACAATAGTTGATATTTTCTAAAAACTGTGGTAACGTTCAAATCACGGATCATGATTCAAACAACTATAATGTATCCCGGCCACCTCCAGAGGTGTTTGAAATCATGACCGATGATTTACGTACCACTTTTAGTCAATAACCTATTTGTTTTTTTATTTATGTTCAGCTTGTTAGGTGATTTTATATAATGTGAAATGGCGGCAAGAAAAAACACCTGACCTCGTCAAAGCAAGGCAGCTCCGCTATTTGCGTTACTGAATGAGGTTACGCCTAGCCCCGCCCTCCCATCTGCCACCAGCAAAAAAGCCAAGCCCAGTCCTACAAAATGCAAGAAAGATATGCATGACGTCATCTAGGTTACTTACTTACGAGCCCACCCTAAAACTATTTAGTAAACTAACGCTTAACAGCAGCCTATCCGTACCAATGAGACACTAACATATATTAACGTCGCGACACTGGAACACTGACACTGACACTGACACTGGACACTTGACACTGACACTGAACACTGACCACTGACCACTGACACTAGACACTGACACTGACCACTGACACTGTACACCTGGAGCACTGGACACTGACACTGACCACTGACACTAACAACCTAACACTGAAACACTTACACTAACAACTAACACTAACACTAACACTAACACTAACACTGACACTAACACTGCACACTAACACTTAACACTGTAAGCACCTAAACACTAACACTTAACACTAACACTAACACTAACAGCTAAACACTAAACAGCTGACACTCAACACTGACACTGACACTAACACTTAAACACTAACACTAACGCACCTAACCACTAACACTAACACTGCACACTGACACCTAACACTAACACTGAACACTAACACTACCACTAACACTAACATCTAACCCACTGACACTGATCACTGACCACTGACACCTAACGCCACTAAACACTACAAAAACTAACACTAACACTAACACTAACACTAACACTAACACTAACACTGACACTGACACTAACACTAACACTGTGTGGTCGATGGTAATGCACGGAATCAGCACGTGCCATGCCACGATAATTCCCATTAAAATTTTAACTTATATACTTATATAAGTATAACTTATATAACTTATATAACTTTATATACAATGACTGATCAAGCAAATGAGTTACACTCAGAGCATGGGAACAAACTGTCGAATGTAGAACTCATGACAACAGGACGTCATGACAATCATGATTTTTTTTTTATAATAGCGCATTTGTTGCATGTTATCGGGAAGAATCTGAGATTAGCTGCATTGTATGTTGTTTTATTATCACAATCTATATGACAGTTTGCCCTACTCATATTGTTTTTTTTTAAATTATGGGCACCATGTACATTATTAGCATTATACAAACCCTCGCCGTAGTCTATCTCTGTGTTTCTCAGGACCCCCCTCGCGCCGCTCGATTTCCCACGCGCGGACCCATTGGCCGCATCCACGCACCGCCTCATATTACGTGCGTGCAAGCGTATGTGCACATGTACCTTCAATAGTAACAGCTCTGTTGACTGCGTGAGCTGGTGGAGGTGGAAGTCTGCACCATATCTCTCTGCCACCATGCGTAGTAGTCTCGATAGACTCTATGATTCCCGCTAAGATGGCAACTGCCACGGCTACAAACGATGCTACGGACAATGTTGGCATGCCTATTTGTCCTGAAAAAAAAGAAATGCTGCTTTCATAGTGGAGACCCAATTACGTCACTATGTCAGACAATTAGATATATATCATATATATATATATATATATCTATATATACTATACTATAATCCAGTGTGGTGTGTGCTGTGTGTGCGTGCTTGCCGTGTGCGTGTCCACGCCGTGTGCGTGTGCTGTGTGGTGTGCGTGTGCGTCGTGCCGTGCGTGGCGTGCGTCCCCGTGCAGTCGCGCTCTGTGCCCGTCCGTCGCCGTGTGCGTGTGTGCACTGCAGCGCTTGTGTTGTGTGTGTGGGCCCCCTGTGTGTCCTACACAGTGTTGTGTGTGTGTGTGCCGAAGTGTGGTGATGATGTGTGTTGTGCTCTTGTGGTGTGCTGCATATGTGTGTGTATGTGTGTTCGTGCCGCGCAGCGGTGCGCCGGCTATCTACACGTATGTACTACCCGTGTTTCCGCAGTATCCTGTGTACAAATAAGGAAAGAAGTTCTCTCGAATCAGCGGCGTGCATGCAGTAATTTGCGATATCGAAATACGTCGTCGTGGTATAGCTTGAACTTTATCGTCACGATTAACCTGGTACGGGGAATTTTAACACCAGGGTGTGTCGGTATTGGGTGTTTTCGAACTCTGTTCTGCGCCCAGTAGGAGCGCTCGGACGGGGTCGTCGGGAAAGCACATGAGCAGCGCGTGCAGAATCAGGACAGAGCAAGCCATCCCAGCTACTCACTTCCGCATGAGTAATCTGGGTAGAAATAAAGATAAGATTTCATCTCGGCAGCTTGTTGATGCACGACTAAGCTAG